ATTTTATTTTTATATTTTTTGTTAAGAAATACTTTGTATTAATATATATATATCTTAAATTTTTTCATAAATAAATTGAGCAAATTTAAATTTGTAATATCTTGCAAATTGAGGTGCCATATTAAAACCCATAGAAATTATCTTTCTATATAAAATAGAAGTCATTATTTGAAAGAGTCGTACATCATTAATCCTATTCCATATAGCCAAAGTACTGAAATTATGACCGAAGAACGGTTAATTTCATTAAAAAAATATTTATTTTTTTAGTTTCTATTAATAAAAATAGATACCGTAAATGAATGTTTCCACTCCAATCCAGTGATGCAAACTCAAATGTTTTAGTAGTTAGTTGTTGCAATTGTTAAAAGCTATATATAACAGATAAGGTAACGCAAAATAACGTAATTTTATTAAAGTTTAAATAATAGTTTGTTAATTACCTATGTTTAAAGATCTGTACATGATATGGGTGTACTGCGGAGAATTGACACATTTTTTTTTCTCTTCACTTGTCTTAAGCAATAGTAATTGATTACTAATTAGATATTTTTTTTCTTTTTTTTTGTGTCTTTGTTCGTTACATTATTATACTTGATTTGATTAAGTTAATACATAAAGAAAAATTTTTTTTTTTTTACAAGAAAAAATTTGCTGTGCTGCGGTTAGTGCTGAATTTCGTATTTTTTTAATTCCTTTTACTAAAAAAAATTTCTTTTTCATCTTTCAGGTCCAACACTATGGTAAGCATTTCTTTTCATTTCGCAAATTATTTTATATAATTTCTTTTGCTAATTAATTTTTAGGTTCAAATCGGTGCTGCGGTACTACGAAAAGCTATATTTTGATTTTTTTTTATTAATTTTCATGTTTTTATGTATCAAAAAAAATTTTTTTCGTCCCTTAGCTCACGGATTAGATAATTGCAGTACCATTTTCTCATCTCATAATTTTTCTTTTACTAAATTATTTTTTTTTTTTCATCATTTTTTTTAGGCCCAGATCGGGTTCAGCGAGGTGCTGCAGTACTATGGTCAGTATGGTGAGCTTCAATTTCATAACTTTTTTTTTCATTTTGGTTTTTTTTTTCTATTTAATTTTCATGTTTTTTTTAAAAAAATTTCTTTGTACTTAAGATTAGGAAGCTGATTTTTGAAAAAAAAATTTTCAGTTTTTTGTTATGAAAATGAAACATGTAAATGGTATGATTTGAATGATTGAACGAATATTCTATTAAATGTAATTACATAAAATAAAATTTCATCGTGGTACGATCATTATCGTAGGATAGAAAACAAGTCCTCCATTTTCCCTATTTTATTATTTGTACCTTGTAACGCAAAGGTTATTTAAGTAAATAAAATATTTTATTTTTATATAGGTACTCCGTGAAGTTCCCATCCAAAGATCTTCAAAACACTTGCAACAAATACTCTTTTGTGGTAACGATCTGCTCATACGTTTAAGGAAATACTTTGGGTGAAATTTTAATTAATCATTAATCATTAATCATTAATCATTAGTCATTAGTCATTAGTCATTAATCATTATTGAGTAGGGTAGCGGCCCACCCTCCCACCTGGCGAACTTTGGTTTTATTTATAGATAATTAAAATTTAACAAAAAAAATCAATTAAGGCAAGGAAAGAAAAAAAAAAAAAAAAAATTTATTAAATCCGAAAAAAGATAATCAATAAGCCCCTAAGACTAATATAAAAAAAAATCTCAGCCACATCAAATACTGAGGCTTAATAATATACGATTAAGGAATAATTTGCGAAGATCATAAACAAATAATTGTAAAGAAAAAAAAAATTTTTTTTTTTTTACGAAAATTAATTTATTTAGGTGTTCAAAAATAATTGATTGAACATACATAATTTAATAATCGATAAGCATGCAATGACTAATTTTAGCAAACAAAGTATAATTGTTTATTAAATATTGAGGCTTAATGAACTGCATGATCAAGATATGTTTTTAAGATCATTAAAAAAAAAAAAATTTTTATGATCTACTAATACGTTTAAGGATTAATTTGGTAGAAATCTTAATTAATCAAAAAATATATATATATCTGATATATATTTATATATAATAAATAAAAAATAATTGTTAAAATGAATGAAAAAAAGTTTTTTTTAACGCAAATGATTTTATTTAATCTATAAGCCCCATTAACTAATTTATCAATGACATTATGGATGTTTAATTACCTTCTTAGGAAATATTCAGGTTTAATCTTCTCCTTAAACCGCAGTTATTACAATATCGTTTAGTAATTGTAATGACACAATGTATATACAGTAAATATGGATGAGGTAATTATTTATTTCAAAAAAATTATACACATGTTCTAAATATGGAAATACAAAAAATAATTCCCACATGAAGTGAAACAAAAAATATTTTTTTGAAAGTTAAAAATTACCTCCCCCTTTTTGTTTAATGTTGAGCTTCTTCCCATATGAAGTGAAAAAAAAATAAATTTTCGGAAGTTAGCTGTGGAAATAGTGAAAGATTTAAATATATATATGTATGACATGAGTATATTAGTGAGAGAAAAAAAAATTTTACTCTTAATTATTTACTCTTAATTACTCTTAAACAAAAAGAATATGCCCGCAAAAATCTCCACAATGTGTTACATTCATGAATTCACTGAACGACTTACTCAGGAGTTTACGGTAAAAGAAATTATGGCTGTTGCAAGATTGAATGATGATGATCCGACAAAAATTTTATATTTGAGAGTAAAGGTCTTATGATTTTAATAAAGGCCAGGTGATTTTCTTGAAAGGAAAGTTCGTTGCTTGTGCCAGTTGGTATAGTGTATGTATTGTTTTGCGCGTGTCCTTTTGAAATCAACCAAAAATTTGTTAATTTTTTTTTATTTTATAAATCTAAACATATCAAAGATTAATGCAATGTCCGTTAAGTTGATTGGGTTAAATGTCATGATTATGGGACTAACCACCAAGACGGTCAGAAATATTGATAATCAATCAATTATTGATTTCTATATAGAGGAAAACTTAGGAAATTGAAAACCGAGAGAATTTTGGGTTGAGGTTCGTCATAATGTGAACCTCAGATATCTCACTAACAAGACTAATTCTATAAATCAAAGCATGCGATCTACTACTGCTTTGATTATGGGTACGCTAACCTATCAGATGCCGGTGCTCACCTTTTTTCTTGAATGTTCTGATTTTAACATATACACACCTGTTTAGTATATTTTTGATTTTCAATTAATACATTATTTAATTTTTTTTTTAATTGTATTTTTTTATTTCATTAATTTTAATTATTAAATCTATTAAAATATTAATCATTTGTTAAAATTTTTCATATTGATTTTATTAGTTTAATGTAATTTTTTAATAAAAAGTAAATAAAATTTAAAACAATACATCGATTGAAAAGATTTATTTTCCTTCATTAATCTAATAATAATTTACACCATTTATAATCACGATTAAAAATAAGCTTCCTAACATTTCGCACATTTACGAACTTTAATTTTATTATTAAAATTGAATTATAAAAAAATAATATGCTCCGACCCCCGATCATTGATCCCATGACGCTATTAATTAATACTCCCACATTTGCTTCCGTCAGTCCCGTATTCTCTGGTGGGTACTGGAACAAAAAAAATACTGGCTAGTTTACAGTAAAAAATCATTGTTAGATTTGGTCTAGATGATCACTAACTGGAAAAAAATTTTTAGACAAGAAAAAATTAGGGACTGTTTTTTACTCTACGATAAACTATGAGCCCAATACTAGCCCAGACCGATATTTCTATTAAGTGTAACAATAATGATTATACATGGTAAATTTATGTAATAAGGTGGAGTAAACGAAAATAGTGTAAATGAAAATTTTTATAGGAAAAATTTAAATAAAGCTATAAGTGGATTAAAATAGCATAAAAATAAAATTTATAGAAATTAATGCATCACTTTTATTGGATGTATGACGTTGAAGATAATCAATTGGCATGATACCTAGATTATAATTACCAAATATAATTTAATTTTTGTTTATGGTATTTACAATTTTCTAGGTGAATTTTTAATTCTTCATCATTATAATAATTTTCTGGTTCAATTTCTATTTTTTATCTTTCAGTAATCAATTTATAATTGTTTCTAAAATAGTTATAAAAAATTAAAAATTGATCCAGGAAATTGGCAAATTTACTATAATATGATTAATATCATCCTACATATATCTGACATGGTGTCTAAACATTATCCAACATGATGTCCAGACATCAGCCGGCATGATATCCAAACATCTGAAGACTGCCACTGATTTTTCTACACAATGATTAACTCGCTATATCTGAGTGAATAACTTTGGTAAATATACGCAAGTGTTTTTGACACATTATATAAGTTCAATATTTTAAATTTAAATAAATTATAATCTATTCAATAACACCATTTTGCAAAATATAAACATACAATAGTCGACAATACCACTTAAAGAATTTGTAATTAATTTCCTTCATATTACGGGTGCCAATCCACTAAAAGAAGGTACATTCTATCTTAAAGTTTATTTCAAATATGTAAAAGAGTCTTACTGTACATAAATTATAGTACTTTTGTAATTACTTCCGAAATTGACTTGCATAAGAACCAACCATGATAAATCATCATGTATATTAAATGATTGAGATAAATTATTATATTAAACACAGCTTATTTTCAATATCAACACAAAAATTGAATTAATAAAAAGAAAACCAAAAAACTTCATTAAATATTTAATATGCGTAAGCTTTACAATACGATATATAAAAAAAGTGCTAAACTTTGAGATCGTGAACTTGGTTCACGAAGTCGATGTTTATGACAAATCTTAACAATTACATTCTAAAAGGATTTCTTTTAAATACAACACTAAAGCATATATTATTCGTTCCAAATTCCTTATTTTACAAAATGAATATACAGTGTCAAGGTACAATCATGAACTTGAAGCTATATATCTTTAATCTTCAGGTCAAGTTCAAGAGCGTATTGTTTAAAGCGACCAAACCAAGCAGGTTTTTTCTTTATAACAGTTTTCTTTGTAGTGTGAATACTCTGTTCTCGGTAAGTAGCAAATCTTGTTTCAGGTAGAACAAAGTAAAAACTGATCTCCTCATCTGGACGTGTTATTCCACGAATATACTTTTCCAGGCCACTCTTGACGATAGGATGTCTCTCTGCAATAGTCATCTGGAAGAACTTGTTTGTAGGGATAAAAGAATCGAACGACTTATTATTTTTTTGAGTTGGTATGTAATATTTAGTAGTACCGGAAGTATTTGTAGCATCTCCAATATCATCAATGTCACTAAACAACAATTTTTCCATGTTATTCAGTACAAGAAATGGATCATTCCTTTTGAAGTATAGATCTATAGGGCGAACTTTAAATTTTCCTCCACGTAGCAACTTTCGATGAGCAAGTCGCTCAAACATAGTACCTCGGAGTGAACCAAATTCATTCAAATCCTCGCTACTATTCACAAAATCTAGCAATTCTTGCTTGTGTTTTTCAGCGAGTTTGTTCATTACCATTTCGGAAACATAATCAGACGCAAACTCTAGAATATATTCACTATAATAAGACATTTTATCAGCGAGTTTAGAATCTATGGAAGTTGCGAGGTCTGCCGATATAGTTGGATTCACGAGAGTTGCTGATGTAGAAGATCCTTCAATTTCTCTCCCCTTTCCTTTATTTTGTATATTTCGTGCCTCTTCCTCTTGACCCGCCTCTTCCTCTTGATCCACCTCTTCTGCTTGATCCGCCTCTTTCAATGGTACATTTGTACAGATATGAACGAGATTATGAATAGCACTGTTGCCCGAAGAGGTTTCACCAACAAAATACATTATGCTATTTTCAACTTCAATAATTGCAGAATCCAATTGTTTTTGCGAATTGTAATTGAGAGCATGAAACAAGACAAATCGAGGAATCCCACCCCATTTATAATGCAGAGCCAGAACTTCTTCTTTAGTAAGATGTTTGAAAATATCAATTTTATCCCTACAAATATCGATCTCTGCAAGAGACCACACCGGCATGTATCGTACATTTATCCCAAGTGAATCAAACGTTTTATAGTATGTCGTCTGGGGCGAACAGACAAGAATAGTTTTTCCACGAAATTCCATCGGCTCCCGAGCGTCTACAATAATTTTTTCCTAGGTAATCCTTGAATAGGTGAATATTGTCTAACTTACTACAGTAAACTTTGTCTTCGCTGAAAAGAATCGGAGATCTGTGATGTTGGTGGTATATGACCGTTCCATTGGCTTTTGCAATAATATAAAGCAAGTAATAACCGAAGAAGGTTTTCCCAATCCCCGGATTTCCGGTAATACGCCAACGAGACCTATTACTTTCAAAAATTATCTTGGACAAATCGAGATAGCAATCACGGATGAATATAGTGGTTATTGGATTTTCGTAATCGTCAACGCCCAGAAGATAGGAAGCATCATTGGATAGATTAAGGACATTGTCATCTATTGTCGCATCCTTGAAAGCTTTCCAAACCTTTTCAAGAGATTCATTATCATAGTTATCACTTTTAACTTCTTCTTCATCATCAATTTTTCTTCGTTTATACCCTAAATACTGGAAAATATTAATAATGCAAACAAATAATGAATCAACGGTTATCAAAAAGTCAAGCCAAAGACGCGTTGACAAAATCTATAACGACTCACTTACAGCGGTGGTTTGATCTACAATAACGTGAACGTTTTTTGAGCGGGTTTGACGATAAGAAGCAGAAAGAAAAGCACAAGATTATATAAAGCCTTCGGTATTATTGGCAAATATGAGAATGAAATTTACTTACCTCCTTTATATTCATTAATCAACTTCATAATTTTTGTAGAAGCTCCAAGAGATATTCCATGAGCTTTAAGACCTTCGTACGTTAAATCAAAAAAGATTGAGCCATCGACTTCTCCAGCTGCTAACGTGTCTATGTGATTATCAATATTGCCTAACCTCCCTTTCAAGAATCCATTAAGTTCTACGGCATTATATCCTCTCACTTCCTCGAATGTCGGAAGAGAAATAACAGGAACACCAGCGGAGGAACTTGCAACGTTAGACGACATAATTTTTGTGATTAAAATAGTATGAAAAGAATGGATGAATTGAGAAAAAAATTGTTGGGGTTATTGGATATACTGTATATATATGAGAAATCGATTGTCACACAGACTGAGTTGATCGGTTACGCAACTGACTAATACAGATAGTATGTCACACCAAATTACAGAATAGATACCATATATATGCAAATCTTACGTCACACAGAGGAGAAAAATAATTACCTACGGCGGGCCAACAAGAATTTTCCTGATATCATACATTCATACTGCGTATTTCACATGATGAAATTTTCGTTCTCTATGCTTTTACCGATACTATTGGCATACCATTTTGCCTTCAGCACTCAGGGCGATAAATTCGTTCTCCAAAATACTCACAACAGCCCCATCGACCATCTTTACCATTCTTGCTTCATGGTCTTTATTACATATGGGACAAGGCACTGAACTGTTAAACACAAATTTATCACCATAATTCTCACTGTATCTCAATGATAGATAAGGAAACTGCTCTAACACTAACCCAATTATATGTTTTCGCTTTTCATCTGTTTCATCAGCAGGTAAAATAGAGATTGGAAGTCTGGATTTGGATCTCCCCTTAGGAATAGATGATGTACTCACTTCAGCTTTGGACGATCTGTCTGAATTGATTCCTTTGGAATCACCCGAAGAAAGTTAAAGAAATAGGTAGGTTGATATGCTTACCCCAAGGTATCCGCTTGGTCTAATCATCTGAAATCTCCTCTTCGGAATCAATAATAGAGTCATCCTGATCATCAGTGTTGGGATTCTTGGAGAAATAATCAATAATAGTTTGAACTTGACTATCAATAATTCCGAAATAGAATTCGCACTATATGTTGTGATATACTTGATTTTATCAATTCCTATTTTTTCGAAAAACTCATAAATCTTCCTGGCTCTTTAAGTCTGTTTGCGTAATGCTTCTCGTTTGTACAGGAGGAAGGAGTTTAGTAAGATTGTCATAATCATACCCTTCTCCCTTTTCTCGCCAATTTTATACTTGTTTGTTAATTTCTACAGCCTTTTTATCGAATTCTTCAATATCTGATATAGAAATATCAATACAATAATTCTTTTTGATTAGCTTGAATTGATTCATCTTTCGCATCTCATGCTTCTTGGATTAAGTAAGTCAGATTTTGTAATATATTTGGGGATTATCCGTATCAGATTTTTCGTGACGGGCCGACCGCTATTAAATCATTGTTATTGGAATTCAAGTTATTTGTACTGTTTGCATTCAAAGGTTGAGTAGATTGAGCGGGCCGTCACCGAAATTTCAGTCACATGATTTTTCTTAGATGCCGAAGTAGAGTAATACGGATAGTTGTAGCGTAGAGTTACCCTATAGAGTATTGTATGATCATGTAAAACGTTATACAAAATTGTATACTTAGTAAAACTACTGCTGCGTATGTACAACAAAAAATCATTGTATAACAATATAATACACAAATATACAATAAATCGATAATCAGTTAATCAACCAAAATTTTTTTCATCGAAACTCTCACTTTCGCGACTCTCACGTCCTCTCACGTTCTCTTTTCTAATAAACTTTTTAACCATGAATACTATTATTAACAAAGAAGATATTATTTACAAAGAAGATATTATTTACAAAGAAGATATTATTTACGAAGAAGATCTTATTGCAGAGGTAAACTAAATATTTTATATGAATATTTATAATACAAAACTAAACGATAAAAATTTTTTAATTTTTATAATATAGCCAAGTTCATCTGACATGGGGATACTGAAGACACTGAGGATACTGAAATATACATTACAAAAAATACGACCGTCAAAAAAATAATACATTCACTGGCTCCAGTCAAGTACCATCGACAAGTAAAGAAGGAGTTGCAATTATTTATCATATTGAAGGGTGGGACAGGACGAAAGTTGGATAAGGAAAGATTTACATCAATTTAGTGTTCAACAAATTTATAATATACCTAATCGTGGACATGATAAAGGGCCTATTGCTCGTGAAGTTCAATCCAATAAACGAAAAGGTAATGTTAAATTTTAAAAAAAAATTATATTAAAAATTGATCCCACTTTGAATTATAATTAATCCAATTTATTTATTTATTATAAATCAGCTAACTCACAGTCCAAGAAAGCTATCATAATTTCTGATTAAGAAGGTGATGATTATGATGATGATAAAAATGATAAGGAAAACAACAACAATTTAAATTTCAATGAACTTTAATATCAAGAAAAAAAAAAAATAACTCTAAAAGAACAGAAAATTTCTTTAAGAGAATACGAAGCAAAAATTCGTATGATGGAATTATCTAATCTTGAAATGAACGTGAATTGAAATTAAAATAGTAAAAATAGTAATTATCATAGGATTGGCAATCAGGTTGCAACTTAAACCAGATTTTTATTTGTATTCTGAAAAATTTGCGTAATTGATCCATCTCAAAAAATTTCTTATAATAATTGAATTATCAAAACAAATATTCTTATTAGTACTAAGTGTTTGGACAATCTAAGCCTTTCAATCCTCGACTTTCCAGTGCCATTACCCCGAATAACATATCTTCTTGGTTCAATTTCACAACTTAAATAACCGCCTAAAACATTTAAGGATTTCATAAATGCAGTGTTTGCAAAATGAATCCAAATGTATTGCGAAAAAGTAAGGGTATTGGTACAAATGGACGTCTACTGGAGCGTGTATAGCAAAATGGAATTTTATAGGTCTTCAATGCTGGTGCTTCCTGTAGACATTTTTGCTGCCGTAGACGTTGGGGCAATATATAGGTCAAAAGGTTATCTAGATTTTTACATAAACGATAAAAGAAATTGGGCCATTGAACTATTACGAGATGGATATTGATCGGAAGAACATCAACGAAGATTTGGAAGAAACGGTGTTTATACTCCTATTAAAAAAATTGCGAAAGAGTGGGTAATTGTTGACACTTGAAATTGTACCATGAAATTACCAGAACAAGAGGAACATGGCACTAATGATATTTATGTCCTTTGCGCCAAAGACTTTGATTCTGTTCAGTTGACATTTCTGATAGAACTGAAGAGAACGTTCGATTGCTAGACGAAGAAGAAAAATATGGTATCTCGAATTTTTTTGGACGATGGAAGTATATATAATATTAAAATGATCTATTTAGTCAATATATATAATATAGAGTTAGGTAAAATATTTATTCATGAGTTGGACAAAATTATCAGACTTTGTGTGGTAAAAAATCAAACATGGCTAGACAAAATGTCACCCCGTGTCTGATATTTTACCTAAAAAAAAAATATTTTTTTTATACAAAAAGTTGATCAATCAACTAACTGATCGGATCGGTAAATCGGAATATGACCGACACGAAACCGTAACCGATCAGAATTATTAATTTTTACTGTATTTTATTACTTTGTAGGCGAGCCAGTTCGATCTTTTTCAAGCCAGCTTTTCAAGCATCAAGCCAATTTAATTATGGCTCAGCTCGCAAGCCGGCTCGGCTCATGCGGAGCTTTACTAGTAGTATATAAAATTTGCTTAATTTACTATGCTATTTAGGATTCTATCGTTAATTTTATCTTAATCTTATTAATGTAATTTAATATTTTTTTATTTTATTCTTAGTATATGATTCAGCTTTTTTTTTTAATTTTTATTTTATTTTATAGTACGATACTAGCAAACCATTTATTTTATAATATTCATTAAAAAAAAATAAAATTTATTAAAATTGTAAAATTTAATAAAAAATTTTCCAACAAAGTTTTAATCAATTTTTTATAAAAAAAAAGATCTCTAATGAAATTCTTTATTAAAAAAAAAATTTCAAGCCAAAATTCTCGATACCCTCATTAAAAAAAAAACTATTTTCAATAAAATTTTCTATTAAGATTTCTAAACAAAACTCTTCATCAAAAAAATAAAAAAATTTTTCAACAAACAATTCTCTAATAAAATTCTCAATCAAAAAAAAAATAACCCCTATTAAAGAAAATTTCTACTGAAATTCTCTATAAACAAGAGATTAAGTGATCAACAAGGTTTAATTGGACGCAAAGAGTTTTATTACCATTTAAATCACCGAAATATATGAGATCATTGTTGTTATCATCCATTTTTCAAAAATCTAATGAATCATCATATGTATATGTATATATGTATTAAAAGTGTGAAATTTCATCCTTTTTTGTCGGTGATATAAATAACAAATACATGTATATATTAATTATATATATATAAAAAAAAACATTTTTACTTACCAAAATAAATGGGTGAAGGAAGAGTTATTCGATTTTATTTTTATTTTTATTTTTTTTTTATTCCTTTGTTCAAATTTAACGTTGCCTTTTATAATAAATGGTAATTCATCACACTTTATGGAAGGTATGCTGCTCATCTTTTTTTATTGCAAAGGAATCACCAAATTTAGATTTTTTTTCACGCATCATTTATACTTAAAAGAAGATATCAACATGGATCATCTTTAAAGGAATCATGTTGATGTTACAATTATAGTTTAATTAAAATTAGCATTTGTCTCGCGTTTAAGAAAAAAAAAAGAGGAGCGGAGGCGCAGTAAAAAATGTATGATAAAAAATTTAAAAATAATAAAGTTTTTATTAATATATTATTTATACACAGAATAAATATTTATACAGTACATAATTTTTAACAATCTATAAATAACGCTATGATATCATTTGGATGCATCCAATAATTTTATAAATTTGAAATCATCTATCATGATTAAATCTGGTTTCTCCTTTGCAAGATGTAAAATAGTTTCACCAAATAAGCTGTTAGCCCAACTATTTTTAATAAATTAAAAATGTAATTAATATATTAATATATTATTTATTTTCCATCCAAATATTTAATTTAATTTTAACTTACGCAAACCATGACCTTGTATAATTATTTGGATCATTATAATAAAAAGATTCGTGCATTAATCCAGTATCAGCACTAGATTCTTTAAGTAATTCTAAAGTTTCTAAAATTTCTTGATCATTTGTTGACGTTAAAATCTACATTTGAGAGAAAGTTAAGAAAGATATAATATATAAGAAAATTAAAAAAATTAAATTTATTACAATTATATTATTATTATTATTATTATAATTATTATTATACCTTCATACATAGACTCATTGGCCAAATGTAACCTAACCCTGTATGAGGACTACCAACTCCCTGAAATTTTTCTCCATTAAACCAAAATTTATTCCAATCACTTAAAACAAAATCTCTTGTTTTCAGATAAATTTTATCATCATTATCAATAAATCCAAAATAAGGTAAACTTAATAAACTTGGTAAATTTGCATCATCCATTAAATTTGATGAACCATAACCATCAATTTCATACGCAAAAATATTTTCAAAATGTTTATGTGGAATTATGGCATTTGAATAGATAGAATCACGTATTATTTGAGATAAATTTTTAGCTTTCTTGGCAATATCAGGTGATGTGGTATCAATCATCTCATAAAGATGAGAAAGTTCAACTGAAGCAAAAGCGTTGGATGGAATTAAGAAAGGAAATGTTGTACTATCGTCTGAAGGTCTAAATTGTGATTTTACAAGACCTGAAAATTATATAATAATTATAAATTAATAATAATTATAATAATAATAGAAATATAATATTATTACCGATTCTTTTAACAGGCGCTCCTATAATATATATAAAAAAATTAAACTTTTTATAATTAAAATAATACATGATTTAAAATATACACTCACCAATTCCTTCCATCATCAAGGTTTCAGTGGTAGTTCTTGTTAATCTAGAAAATTTATAAGCTTCATTTTTAAATTCTTGCATTGTACCTAATTGTTGTATTTCTAATATATCTAAAATCGAATTAACGGCTTCTAACCAAATTTTATTCGTTAAAAATCTATCATCTTTAGTATTACTCCAATAATTATGAGATAATTTTAAAAAAGAAACTAAAGAGTCAAGCTCCCATTTTTTTTCCCATGTAGCACTTGAAGGAGGTGGAGTTGTGATATCAGTTTTTGACCATGGATTTTTTGGATGAGGAAGTTTAGATTCAGGTGGTGCATAATATGCATTAGCATATGGATCCTATAAAAAAATTTATTAAAAATGTGTAATCTTTTAAAAAATATATATCTCATTGAAAAAAATAAATCCTACACTGATAATTAACTCTGCTTGCATATATATAACACCTAAAATAAGATTTTTCAATTTATCATCACATTTTGCGTAAGGGATATAAGAGATAATTTGATTTGTCGAATCTCTCAGCCACATTGCACTAGGAAAAAAAAAGTTATTTATGTATTTAGTCTTCTTTAACCAAAACAAACTATCCTTCTGAAAAAAAAAAGTTGAATAAATTACGGAATATCTCCAGTAACAATGAACGTTCTTGGAAAATCTTCACCAACATTAAACCAAGCTACCGTCGTATCTATGTATGGAAAATATTAAATTAAATTTTAAAAATTTTTATCGTCATCGAATCAGAAAATAATTTACCTACCTAAGGTATTTGGCCAACAATTTTCAAATAATCTTGCCAAATCTTTATCTTTCATATTCGAAGTTATATCTTTTATGACTTTCTCAATGACAGGGCTAACAAATTTTCGTTCGGATTCTTTCGGGCGAACAAATGGAAATTTTGATTTAAATTCAGTTTTGGTAATAGTTTCTTCATTATTTGCGGATGATTTAAACAGGAACATTTTTTTTTAACTGATTTTAGAGAATACATACATTTATATCTTGATAAATTATTTGTGTCACAAATAAAAGACTGATAATCGTGTGAGCAAAAAATGGTATGTTCATGCGATCCAGTGACGATCTGTATTACAATGAAATAATGAAAATAAAGTCAGTGATGTGCTTGATTTGTGGCCGCGATGATTTATTAAGCAAACTCCCAGGGTGGTAATTAATTTTCAAATCCATGATTTTGATTTAAAATGTTAATACATATATATATTTTTTTTCGTGCCGTAGGAATTTACGTAGTCAGAAATCAGAATCGTAAGAATTCAAAATATTAAATGTCTTGGGTAAAAAGACTATGGTTAATAAAAAATGGAGATTTTATAGATTAAGTCCGAATTTGAAATTTTACATTATGATAGTAATATTTAAGTGATTTATTTTTTTAAAATAAAAATAAACGAATGATCTTTGATTTAGTTTAGTGACTTTATCTTTGTAATTTTCACTGTAACTTTACTTTGAGAAATAAAAATAAAAAAATACAGTATTAAAGATCCTATATAATAAGACCAACAACAATTTCCTCCAACACTGATAACCAAATCGCGTTCAACCCTTCCGGAACTGAGGTGATGCCACCTTGGTGGAGAAAAATTAAGTAAGAAGCACAAGCGTGAGTCAAAGACACCGCGCGCGGACAAAGCACCAAGGAAAATAAAAGAGTCAAGAAATAAAAATATAGTTATCTATTACTATTTAAAAGATTACAAATAAACGAAGTGTTATAAAAATGGTCCATATTATTATTTAAAGTAAAAACCCCTATGGGTTTCCCATGTACCCTAATGTAAAAGTTACTAGAAGTCCAACGTATGTAAGACGCCTCGTCAATTCGGACTTTTTTGAACTTGTGTAAGGAGGAAACGTAAATATGTATCTTGATCGCTGAACTATATCTGGAGGTTGATCAGTAGATAAGCCTTTGGTAGGTTTATTCGAATTGTTCTTTCTCTGTTGATTTGATAAAAAAATTTAATTTTAATAATAAAAAATACAATAAAAAATACCCAATAATTAAAAATTTTTTGGCTCTTTTACGCCAGATACTTTAACTTTAGTGACTGATATAATGACAGGACCTTCACCACACAACGGAATCACCACCTAACTATCTTACCTTAATAATATTTTTAATTTTAGTAATAAATGATTCAGTTTATTCGTAATTAGTATCTCTAGTAGAACAATTAACTAGAAATTAATTATTTACCATATATTATTCCTTTTAAAGTTGAATTTCTTCATTCTTGTAAATCTCTGCATTTACCTATTATAAGAAAGGAAAATTATTAAAAGTGTGCTAAATTTTTATTTAATGATAAAGAAGACATAGCCAATTCCTCCTTTAGAATTAGCAGACTTTACCAATAACAAAGTAGGATTT